AAGTACATGCTTATGCCAAATTCCTCAAAGACTTGTGCACGCAAAAGAGACGAATGAAATCTCACACACCCAAGACTGTACATTTACCAGAAAATGTAAGTGCAACTATCTCAAACCACATCCCCCCAAAGTTAAAGGATCCTGGAGCTCCTATTATTTCCTGTGTAATAGGTAATGTCACTATTGATAGAGCACTCTTAGACTTAGGAGCGAGCGTGAACTTATTATCCACTTCCGTATATGAACAGTTTAACTTAGGGGAGCTCAAGTCTACTGAAGTCATCTTGCAAATAACTGACCAATCGATCAAAATGCATAGGGGCCTAATTGAGGACGTGTTAGTTAAGGTTAAGGAACTATATTTTCCATTAGATTTTCTTGTCTTAAACATGGAGTATACGAGCAGTAGAAGTATGCTTAGACCTACCCATGCCTTAACCTTTATGGTCTAATTTTATTAGATTGAAAGCTAAGTTGTTAACATCTACAAATCTTTTTCTCTTCCTTGCAGGCCCAACAGTAATTTGCCACCACACTACAATAAATTTTTAATTTAGGGACGAATTCAGTTTCATCCCATAATGGTCATTTTAGGGGACAAAATTGAAATTTCATCAAAAAATGCTTAGCATTCAATAAAAATGCTTAGCACTCGATTTCCAACCCGCGCCAACAATTGATTTCATCAGCCATATGGAGGGATGCATGAAATAATATGAAGGGATATCATTTTGGGACGAAATTTATTATTTTTCGACGAAAAATTTTGTAGCTAAAAAACCTTCTTTTTTGGTGGGGGACGAAAATTTTTTTCTCTAATTGTACAAAATTTGGAGAACTTATTAGGAATGAAATATGATTTTGTCCTTGATTGTGAATAATACATTTTTAGGGAAGAAATTTGAAAAACTTATTAGGGAGGAAATATTATTAGTTCTAGGTAAATGTTAAAACACCCAATTCCTTTTCTATTTCATTTGAAACAAAACCCAAACTTTCTTTCCAGTTTTCAAGCCCTAAAACCCATTTTCTTTCTAGTTTTCTCATTCATTTCAATCACAATCGAGTTTACTCCCATTTTTCTCTCTTTCCTTTTGCAATTTCTTCATCTCATTTAATCAAATCTTTATTTCACAAGGGCAGCTGTTCATTTCACTTCGATAGCACCGTGTTTCATCTTTGGCAACACCTTAAGTCGCCATCCAAGGTACAATTCTTCAATTCATCCTTGTTTCCATCTAATAGTTGATTTTGTTTCTCTGGTTCGAGCGTGAGAGTTGGACCAGCTGGCATGAGTTTGATTAAGAGTTGGTTTGGGTTTGAGAGATGGCAAGAGTCGAATTGAGAGCTGGTTTGAGTTTGAGAGCTGCCATGAGTTTGATTGAGAGCTGGTTTCAGAGATGGCATGAGTTTGATTGAGAGGTGGTTTAATTTTGAGAGATAACATGAGTTTCATTGAGAGATGGCGTGATGTTTGATTGAGAGCTGGTTTAGGTTTCAGAGATGGAGTGAGTTTGATTAAGAGGTGGTTTGAGTTTGAGAGCTGGCATGAATTTGATTGAGAGTTGTCGTGATGGTTGATTGAGAGTTGGTTTGCATTAACGATTGTTTTTTACTGAATGAAAATGGCATGGGATCAGATAAAAATGATGCTATTATGTTTCTTTTAGAAATGATTTATGACATGGAATAGAAACTCTCAATTATAGTTTTAGCAAACAGATTTTATTTGTTCTAAATATGAAATTTATTATTGGTTTGATTGTTTTATGATATGAATTTTTTAAATCTATTTAATGTTTGTGTGTGATAGCAATTTTTGAAATGGTGTGAGTTTATTGTTTTATGGTGGTAGATCTTGTGAGTTACTAAATACACTCAACCCAACCCAACCCAATATATTTACTAAATACACTTAATAAAATAAAATAAAAAACACTAAATACACCCAACCAAACCCAATAGGTTCTAAAGTTTTCAGTGAGTTCACAAACAAATAATATTATCTATGCATTGAATGAAATAATTTGATCGTTGAAAATTAACATATCTTACATACGTTAATTATAGAAATTGTAATTCCACAGTGATCCTCGGCTACAATTTGACTTCCATTTCACATACGTGACCATTTCAATTCTATCCAACAACTTATTAGCTTCAACAACCCATTCTAGCGGTTGTCCACCTTTTTTAGTCTCTGGTTAGGTGAGTTCTTAATCTTTATTTTCCATACTTATTCGTCTCTAAATTTAGTTGATGTGATTATTTCAGTAAGTGGTTATATTTTTGTCACCTTATAGTTATTAAATCATGGATAAGACTTGGATGAAGGAAAAAAAATGGTCGAAAAGATATGTGGAAGGAGTAAGATCTTTTTTGAAATTTGTGGAGAACAACTTAGGTGGGGAATGTGATATTAGATGTCCATGTACAGATTGTCTGAATTTTTACATCCAAAGGCAAAATGTTGTTTGCGATCACCTACTTATTGGAGGGATAGATACCGACTACACTAGATGGATCTATCATGGTGAGCACTCTAATTTTACCGATTTTGTCTAATGTGGACAATATGTGAAAAAATTCTGAGAATAGAACAAAGCATACTATGCCACACAACCAAGGATCTATGGCTTTCGTGGTGGTCCACAATGAGATTGTAAGTACTCTGAATAGCCTTTATTTTTAACCTAGATTGTTTTCATTAGTTTAGTACAAACATATATAAATCAAATTTGATTAATCATTTAAATTTAGATATTTGGAATTTGAAATTGTATTGTGACCAATTTGGATGTACATGAAATCAGGAGGAGAAGGAACTTAATGGAGAGGAATGTGATCAAATTAGCTTTTTTAAATTCACTCATTTTAAAGAAGGAAAGGGTTATATGCCCCTAGAAGCTGAGGCAAAATATGTAAGTGAAATTAATTAGTATTCAATTAATTGTATGTAACAACGTTGTGTTTGCTTACTGTGATTGGCATTATTTAACCTAGGGTTTAGGGTTTAGGTCCAGGTCCTAAAATTGTTCATGGGCCAAGGACCGGTCTCAGGCCCATGAGCGACTGGTCCCATTTAAGGGACTAGGCCCGGGCCCGCTTGGGACCGGTCCTTGACCATCTCTATTACAAATACAGCAAATTATAATAATAATACTTATTAGCTTTAGCTATGTCATGTACATTAAGGAGAAAATAAATACATATATATGATGTACAATTGTACATGTATTCTCAACACTCATTTTTTATATGTATATGAAAATTCTTACCCGAAATAACGAACTTGTAAAATAGATTTATTTAATATTTATCATAATTCATAAAGAGATTTGTTGTTCTTGATCTTGCTTCATCTTAATTGTTGAGTGGCATTTCACCCGTAACCACAATACATCCGCTAATTTTTCAACATCAGTTGGGACTCGCTTCAATCACATCTAGAAAAATCGAAGCAAGGCGACGCCCAATGACATGAAAGGTACACCGTGGAAGAAAAATATAGGTACATGTATTTCTAAATAAACTAGTTATAGTAAGGCCCACTAAAACTCATATGGGTTCAGGCAAAGGATCCGCCGAATATTGGAAATTCATTTTTAGTTCATATGATTTAATGACTTATTTTATTAATATCTAATAAATACTTATATTTATCAAAATGGGTGTGAAAAGCAAATAATTTGATGTATTTTAATTGATGAGATCTTTTATAATAGAGTGTGATGTATACGAAGAAACAAATCTACAAGATATATTTAGGATAATTATAAATTATGTGCTTGATAAAATGTTAGACATTCAGGCCACACGTTCTTTATATATATATATAGGATTCCATAAATGTGTAGCATAAATGGTTTTAATTTATTAAAATGTAAATCAAATTCGAACAAGTCAAATAATAATAAAGTTCAAGATCTTATTGTTCTTACTTTGTTGATATGTGTGCTAGTTTATATAAGATTAGTTTTCTTTACATTGATTTTCATAAAAAATAACATAAAATAAAAAAACAAAAGACTTTTTCTTAACTTACTTTTTGTTGGTTGGATATAATATTATTAATTGAATATAAATTTTATTGACCGGATCTATTTAGAAAGTTTTTCACAAAATCTAGAGGGAGTTTTTGATAAATTTTATCTAACTTTCTAAATATCCAATCATATATATATATTAAAAAAATAAAATAATCCTTGTACTCATCTCTAAAATAATTCCCAAATAACCCTAAACATATTTCTTCACATCTTTTTTATTTTTTTCGAGCTCAAATTCGAACTCTGATGCGAGCACAAATTCGAACTCCTTCTCGAGCTCGAAGATGAATCAGATAACAAACGAACCAAACTCAAACCGATCTCGAACTCCAGTCAATTCCCCAAGCTCGAATTCGAATAGGGTTTTCTTGGGCTCAACGAATTTGAACTCGCACTCCTTCATATTTTCACGAATCGAACTCGAAGACGAAGGTGTTCGGCTTGACTCGGTTCGTATGCAGGCCTAATATGGCACCATCAAATTGCATGTTAATTGTCTTTGAGTTCAATGCATTCTCTCGGAGAAAAAAAAAAAAAGATAAAGATTAGCTCACAATCTAATCTTATAAGCCTGACATAACGGCAAGCAAATAGATAGACGGGACTTATTTGTGAGTTGTTACATCAAGGTTATGAGAGAAAATTTGTGAAATTGGATTAAAATTATAGTATTATCCAAAAAAAAAAAAAAAAATACTTAATTCTAATAAAGGCTGGCAGCATTAGCAAACCTCACTCACTCTAGACTTGATAATCAACGTCTATTTAAATTTAGTGCTGACCGGCCTTGACTATCAAAACACCTATTTTACCCTCATTAATTGTTATCTCTTAGTTAATAAGCTCAATCACCAACTAGCCAATAATCTCCATCTCCTACACGTGAACGGAAAGAAAATGTTGTGTAAAATTACTGGACATTAGCATTTCTCTCATGATATAAATGTCTTACGACAGTCATGGACTGCTATTTTTGAACTGGTTTTAAATAAAATAAAAAATACAACTTCCCCAGCCTCAAATTTTCCTAAAACTTATGTACAGTCAATCCTAATTGATAAACTATCCAGAAGAGTTAGGGACGATGGAGCATCTAGAGAAGCATCTTCCCTTCTCTTGAAAAGCTCTTACCACCCAAATTACTACTAAAGTCACCATGAAAATGGAAAGAGACAACATTGATGACCATAACAATTGAATTGAAACCTTGAACGACTTGCATTGATTCATAACAACATCAGCAAATGTGTCTTTCAAAATGGTGCATTCTGTCAAGCTTTTCAAGTCTGGGTATATTTTCAGCATGTCTTGTAGAGATTGACTATAAGCCAGAGCCTTGTCATACGCCTTCTGGGGAATAATTTTTCTCTGTCTTCTGCATGATTTAGTTGAATTCTCTTTGTAGCATGTGAATCTTGAAAGAACCTACAATTCAGTTTTATTCGAACACAAGGAAAGGCAATGATTTTAAACATTTTAATTATAGAAATCTTATGAAAAAGAATGATTCATTTTCAAAAAAGTTAAGGGTTAAAAATCAATCAGCAAATTTATTTACTTACCAGTGATAATTCACCGATTGGAATGGCACTCCTGGGGCACTTTCCAGGATTATAGGTGTAATTAGGCCCTTCTGAGAAAGGGTTACAGATCTTGCCAAACTCTGATATATCATTATTTTGTCTGTTTAACCCGAGCACTCGATATACATTTGTTATTTTTGAGTTCATCTGCAAGTAAAATGTAGACATGATATGTCGCAGGAAATTAATTTAAGTCTGTCCGTGCGAATAAAATATTATACAGTTCCATGTATTAATTTACCTTGGCTATAGAAGTATGAATAATGCGGCCAATGTCTGTTAATATTCCATCTGAATTGGAGGAATCAATGCATGGTAAGATAGATTTCAGACTGTTATTTTGAGGATTTTGAATAAAATTCTCAAAAGCTGAACAAGTATCTTCTGAAAAACTGCATTACACTTGGAGAATTTAACAAATTATTTATGATCTTTGAGTAATGGAATGCAGGGTAACAAATATTGAAGTTCAAAGAATATACTCACGTATGGAGGAAGAAATCAAAGCCTGTCATAACCCAGAATAGAGTTGTTAAGATCCAGCAGAGGACAATTATACTGAATAACAGCAGAAAATTAATCGATCAACCCTCGAATTGACATTTAAAATTACTACCCTCTTGTTTAGATTTCAATCTAAATTAGCGAGTTAAAGAATATTCGAATAAGGATGAGGGAATCTTCATTCCCTGATTTTTAAATAATCGTACTTACGTGATGAATCCGGGATGCCAATGCAACAGGAGAAGAACTGAGCCAAAGCAGCAATACATTAATTAGTGTAACCAAGTTAGTTTTAATCAATCTTTGTCAGAATCAACGAGATAATACAGCCTGTGTATGACTAATTTATACCTAGCCCCGTGACCACCAATACCAAATTGAAGATTATCCCTACCAAATGTAATTTGTACCTGCATCAATACACAAACAATCTTGATGCTATAAAACAGATATCAATGGACATAGAGGAGAAGTTATGGAAATTGTGTAGCTTCTTACGAAGAACGAATTGTGAGGTCGATCGTGTGACCATTCTTGAGAACAAATCTTCGGATGGCTCGTGAAGCATTTCCAAGTCTATGAGAGGTTACACTCAATTCGCGGGTAGTATTTAGTTCATACGGATGTAATAGGTGTTGTATTATTCGCATGGAGTTAATCACTTTTTTGATGGTTGTTCGCACATCCTGGCCTGATTTCATAATCGTATTCTTCAATTTTTGTGTCTTGTTCAAGAAGTTGTGATTTTCTGCGAGTACGAAACTGGTGGCAAGACTTTGAATTGAAGCACATGCACGCATATAAAATGATTTTATCAGTTAAAATCAGTTTGAAGTTTAAATCTAAGCAAAGATTTAACTGCAATCATATTGTGATTGGGTTCACAATGTCTAGGTTAACTTAAGAATAACTCAAAATTCTGTCATGTTCAGTCAAAGTTGATTGCTATTTACATCGCTGAACCTCTACATTAATTGTATTGACAGCATTCGGAGTTCAATGTGAGAAGAGAATCATTAAAATTTGTACTTACATGGCGAGAAAGGTAAACAGGAGGACCAGCAGGAACATAAAGACATAGTAGCCATCCAAAAGGTGAATAGCCGGAGAAGAAGCAGTACTCTTTAGGGTCTTGAAAATCATGGAAATGCCAAAACCAAGCCCAGATAACATCCAAATGCCCGCTATTACATATCCATGGACTCCTGTAAATGCGGCAGACTGAAACATCATTTAAAAATAACTTCATCAATTCTATGTGTAAATGATTCAACCGATAGTCCGATCTTGTATTAGGCGTCAGACTAGGCCCATTAAATTTTTAATTGGCCCGAACTATCAATACTTGGACTTCACTTCTTCTGTATAATAATTAATAAGAACATATAAGATCCAATTGTTGCGCTGAGTCTACTAAGAGTATGCCCGTATCAGGCTTAAGAGCAATATTAGTTTTACAAAGACACATATGAAGGTATACAAAGATAATTTACACTCTTAATTTTCATGATTTCTTTCTCTCTCTCTCTCTTTTTTTCTGTTTTTTCTTTGTTTTTTTCTTCTTAATGATTCCACTTTGTAACCCTCTTTGTATGGGTTTTTGTAAGGATAGCAATCTACGAGGGTTAAATATGGCCTAATGCAAAGGAAATAGCCAAATTTATACATTAGAAAGAATTAGTTATGACCAAGGTATAAGTATAATCTTACCAGTACTGTACATCTATTTAGTAAAGGCTATATATTATAATTTTTCAGAAAGACTTAACATGTGTGTTTATCATATAATACCATACCACATATATACAATAAAAATTGACTTACAACCAAATCTTACAAATTTTTCCTTACAACCCTGAAGTGGTAGCTCACAATTGAACAGACAAGAGCCATTGCGAGTTATCATGTCGGAATTGCGAGAGAAAGTTTGTGAAATTGAATTATAAGTATAATATAACCTACATATATATTTAGTTTTAGTTTTAACTACCCACAATTATGATAGGTTGGTTTTAAAATGAACATACACATGACATAATATTATTGAACAAACATACGTATAATATCATAGTATCATACATCAATCTCATCTAATAAATGTTATACTAAATATATCTTATATTGAGTAGAGGTTTCACCAAAAAAATACTTAAACTATGCATAACATGTCTTTTCTGTGTGTGTACAGTTTACATATCAAACTGTATTGATCCATCATAAAGTCTAAGAGGGTATGCATGAATGTATGTCTTAGTATACCTACACAATGCAGCTTGCAGTAATAAAACATATAAAAAAAATAATAATAAATATGGCTTAATTTAGTTGCATGTTGGTGAAACTGTGATCATGAATTTGTTTTCTCTTTAATTAACAGAAAAAAAGGATGCATGAAACTTACAGCCCAATAGTGTTTGTTTGTAACATCGTAGGTGCCATTGTAGTACTTGGAATGAGGCAAAGGATCTGATCTCTTGAAGCTGCGTTCCTCAGCAGGTGACGACCCAAACACTAAAACAAACTTGGGAAAAAACAAAGAAGTGAAAACCAAGATGAAAATAAATAATGGAGATGCAACTCCATTTGGGTGAGACATTTGCAGTTTATTAAGAAGCCGTTTGGATATATTTGCTAGAGCATGCTAAAATAAAAAGGGTAGTCAATGGTGCCTTGATCAATTCAAAATCATTTAAACTTTAGAACAAAAAAGAAGAAGAGGTTTCTGTACAAAGCTGACTTCGAGAGTAAGTTAAGGATAGCTTGTGGCTATGGTTTTGTGAATATTTCTTCTTTTGAGAGGAATCAGAACCGAAATTTCGGGTTCTAACAAATTAAGTTGATGAATAATGAATTTGACCTTTCATGTCTTTCTAAATAAGTTTCTGATCTTTTTCGTTTCGTCATATTTTTCTCAAGTGACTTTGACAATATTCTATTGGCTCTAATAGAAGAAAGAATTTTCGAGAGTTCAAACTTTAGAATACACTACGAAATTTTTACATTCAGAGCAACGGTTTGGTCTAGGCTTGTAGCATGGTTGGGCCCCTTAGACCTCGGTTTTATATTTCGGGTTCAATGGCTGGACTTTTGTATGAAAAACAATTTTATGGGCTGCAGCAGCCTCAGATTCTAATACATAGAGATGGGCTTGAGCCCAATAATCATAGGATATGATTAATTCTAGTATTACCAATATTGTTCATATTGGAAATTAGTCTCTTCTCCACACTTACAGCTTTGAATTCAATCAAAATTATTAATAATAACTACCTTTGGGTGGTTGTTTGATAGAAATTATTAAATGTATTATTCAAAAGATCTTAAGTTCAAGTTTTTCATTGGGTACTAATAAGGGTAGCCACTATAACTCTTATCTAGCCGGTAGTTTTAAGGTCCAAGTAAATTAATTGAGATATATGTAAATTGACCCAAACACCCTCAATCAAATAAAAAGAAGTAGTAATGATATCCTTCTATTTTCGCTCCCTGTATTAGTAAACATTATACATACAAAATATCATATCTAATGAGGTTATCGACATTTGACATATCATCACATTATTTAAAATTTATAATTAACACAACGTTACAACTTTATTGATTGAAATAATATGAACTCAAATTTTCAACATTTCTCTTATATTTTGAAAATTTATTTAGACCCAAATATGAAAAATGAGAGAACTTCTTTATGTATAACAAACAAACAAATTATAATACATGTTATAATGGAAGTGAGTCATTGCTTCCTAGTTCAGGCGTTTGTACATGGCACCGTTGGCACAGCCAGCTGTGCCAGTTAAAAAGGTAACAGCCATCTTGCATATTTAACTCAACACACCAATCATTACCTCCCACGTTTCAGCAACACCTTACTATTTTCACCATGATTGGTTCGTTCCCTTAACTCCTTTCAAACGAGCGTGGGGCCAACTCGCTCGACCTTTTCGAAATTTCGAAATTGCTCTCACTTTCTATGGAAACTTCTCATCATTTTTACGCATAAAACACACACTTTTGCAAAACTTACGCCGCCAGAAAGATCACGGCCGTTAATAGAATACCCAGTCAGCACTGCTACGTTTGACTCACTTGAGATTAACGGTCAAGATTCTGAAGCAGGTTTTGATTTATGCTCTAATTTATATCACCCAAATAATTAATCCCAATTTAACCCCTTAATCATCGCGGCGTTGTAATAATTGCAATTCCATGTTCCGTATATTTGGTCAGTTTGTGGTTGGTACGAATACAGGCAAATTAGTAGAGGCAACGCCAACGAAGGTTCATCTCCAGAAGAGTCCAATCGAGGACAGCCAGCCAGACGCTTAGATCTCTTTATCCCTTTTTTTTGTGATTTTCTGATCGTCAACAATGGGATTGTGGGAAGCATTTCTGAATTGGCTCCGCAGGTTACAACTTTGAATTCTTCTTGTTATGTTTTGTTGATGGAGTTTTTGATTGCAATGCTAATAATTTGATATGCATATTAGAAGTGGAAGCTTACTTTTTATTTGTAGTTATCCTTCTTAGTTCGTTTGAGCATGTATTTTGGTTTGTAGCAATGCTGGTGGATTTTTTTTTTTTTTAATATTTTTATTTGTTTGCTTTATTTTTTGGGAATTGTTTTGAATTTATTTCCTGGGAACCAAACAGAAGTTCCTGTTTTTGTTTTCAAATTTATTCTGTTTTTAGTCTTGCCATTCGCCAAAGATTGTGTAATTTGTGTTATGTTTATTGGATTTGACTTATAGATTTTTTAAACGTATTCAATTTCCTGAAATAACTGAACTGCAATATTTTGTCATGGAATGGCGTTGAAGATGATGATATCAATTAATAGACAGGGACAGAGATTTAAGTGACATAAAACATCAAATGGTAAGAATAATTTAGGAGGAAAAGAGGCTAGTTATTGACTTATTCTTCCAGCGGAGTGGTTGCCACAATCATTGTCAATATTTGACAGCTAATCTTGGAATTAGTGATTCTAGGGTTTGGCATTTAGGAAACCAGGTTATTTAAATTTTGTATTGTCAAACCTTTGTAACACTGAACATGCATAAGATTGATTATACTGGTTCATTCAGCATTCTATGACATGTTCAAGAAAATGCTGCATTGAATATCTAACAAATGTCCATGGAAGCTGCTCTGAAGTTGGAGTTCAATTAGAGTCAATCATACAAAGGTTCCGTTTTGTTATGTTTAAGTGGATGAAAATATTCTACATTGCTTGTTAAGATAGATAGTAAATTAAGTTATAGAGGATGAGTGGTGTAACATGTGGAAGTTATGTGGGATATTATGTATTCCCAATGTTTTACTTAGATAAAGTGGTGTATTTCCTGACCTGATGCTTACCTAGTCTTTATTTGTCAATCATCCATTAGATAAATTAGATTCAGCTTACGTAGATGATATTGCAAATGAAGTAAATATTCCCACATAGTAAAGTGAAGCAACTTTGTTCTATAATATAGGATAGCCATTTTGTTTCCATAAGGTTCATGTTGATGTATGTATAATTTATTAAAAAAAAATGTTTTTATGTTAGTTCTTTTCATGCAAGAAAAATCTGCAGTAGCGCTGAGGATTAATTTCCACCTGAAGTTATTTCACAAAGAAAAGGGTAGAAGAAAACCCACGTGCATGACTGCTTTCTATGATGGGCTATTGTTACCTCTATTTTTACTGCTTCTCTCATCTGAAACCTAAAAAACATTCTTATTCTGCTTACTAATGGATAATGATGGCCCCTGCTAAAAAAGTGAACATTTATATATATACTTGTATTCCAATTTGTATAATGGCAGTGCATGTATCAATGCATATAGATGTATTTTATTTTGGATACCAATGGGAAACAGAAGTCAATCTGATGATAGCAATACATCCCAAGGAGTTGGAAGAGGAAAATAGTAAAATATTAATGTTATTTCGTTGAATGGATTAGGCATGAGAATTATGGGTTTCATGTAGGTAATTGATATCTATTTTGGGGTTTTATATGCGTAAGTATTAATCAAGCTTACCAAGTTCTTAGCTCTGTTAGTAGCTTTGTTACGGAGTTAGAAACTTGTTTACTTTTAGTGTGAAATGGCTTTTACAAGGGTGTATCTATTAAAATTTTTTGAGTGAACACTGCTGATTCTGAAGATACTAATTTTTTAACAGAGCTTTTCGGTTTTTCCTATCACACCTGGTCTGGCATTCTGGCTAATAACTTCTCTTTTTTTTTTTTGGTTTTCCAATTTTTCTTTTTCTTGTTGCCATTAGCAAATGCTCACATTATGTTGTCTTACTTTACTCTATATGTGGTTGCAGCCTCTTTTTTAAACAAGAAATGGAGCTGTCCCTGATTGGACTTCAGAATGCTGGAAAGACCTCACTTGTAAATGTTGTTGCAGTAAGTACATTGTAATGGAAATTATGCTACCAGTATGTGTTTCTTTTTATGCATTTCCGTGGACTGATGCACCAAAAATTGTTTGTAGACTGGTGGATATAGTGAGGACATGATCCCTACTGTGAGTAATATCTTTTAAGAATTCTATTCTGGCCGCTTATTATGCTAAAAAATAACATTTTTCACATTTTATTTCTATGCATTCAATGACCTTTAATCTCTTAGAGGCAACATTAAGACAATTAATTTCATAATTTTCAGGTTGGATTCAATATGAGAAAAGTGACAAAAGGAAATGTTACAATTAAGTTATGGGATCTTGGAGGTCAACCAAGGTTCCGCAGTATGTGGGAGAGATACTGTCGTGCAGTTTCTGCTATTGTGTAAGAACCTAATCCTCCATGTCAATTGTCTTGTTGGTTGACCATCTACTTTTATTTATACTGTAGCGAATTCTTCTAGTTGGCTCTTTTTCATTTCTGTAGCCTTCAAATGCTACATTTTTGCTTAATTTTTGGGCTTACCATGGTTGTAAGTTGGAAGTTAGAGATACACTTTTTTTTTTCCTCCTTGGTCTTTTTTCTTGCCTAAATTCTTTGGAGAGGTAAAATCTATTTGTGCTTGGTCATTTGCACAATTCTCATTTATGTTACAGAAAGAGATTTACAAGTTTAACTGCATATGGTATGTTTTCATGAGTCATGAGGCAAGTTCATGTTTCGTACTATCAGTTTTGACTTTTGAGCAGCTTGTTTGATTTTAAGAATCTTTTTACTCACGGGGGAATATATATTATATCAATATTCCAATATTTGTTTGTGATGAGGGAATTCAGAACCTGAATGCATCTATGATTGTTTGCTAATTCTTTTTTTCCCCTATAAGTTCTGTGCAAAAACAGTGCTAGTGATCATTGTTCATTTATTCATAAACTCTGACATTTGTTGAAAGAATAATGTGGTTAGAAAAACTGAAGTTTGGAAACTGTGATTACTGTTTGCTAGAGATTAAATGAGTTTCAATTTACACTGAGGCTAGTATGGTTCCAATTTTATAAGTGGATACTTTACATATTTGGGTGGAGAGTTCTCTTAATTTAATTTATACTGCTCAGTCACCATTCTGTCAATCGAAATATAATAGGAGAAAGCTATGCTAATGCACCTGAAAGTGAGGATAGATTTGTATTTTTGCAGTGTAATGATTGAACTAAATAATCACTTGAGCCTCAGTGAGCTCTTCCATTCTGAAAGCTGTTTCCTCTTATGAATTACTTTAAATATTCTGAATTACTGATGGAACAAGCAGCCTTTTCTTTTCATAAGATATTCTGTAGACAATTTTACTTGTCACAATTTGTATCAATTGGATAACCAGGTTAGTATCACAGTAAGGTAAGGAATAAGTTAAACATCTACTACTGAATCCTGGTATCATGAGGCACTCTGTTGATGGCATGTGCACCAGACTTGTTCTTCCGTTTGGTTGTTGCTACTGTGGCTTCCATAAGATTTTTTCGTAAGACTTGTTTTGGCCTCTGTTATATGCTTCTCTTCCTTTATTTGCTATTAATGTTGGTAAGACTTCGTGAATCTTGTAAATACTGGTTTCATGAGTGAATTTTCTCATTCAAATTGAACCTTTATCTGTCAATCAAACATTTTTCATTCATGGTCCTTATTTCTTGAGACAACGATGTTGAATGATACATGAATGCTATAGTTCTCTTTTAATTTAATTCAGCATTGAAATGAGACAATATTTAGCTTTATGTTGATTATGAAAGTTGTTACAACCTGATCTTTCATGCAGTTATGTGGTTGACGCTGCTGATCCTGAAAACCTGAGCATCTCAAAAAGTGAACTTCATGATTTGCTGAGTAAACCCTCCCTTAATGGCATCCCTTTGCTGGTGCTAGGAAACAAGATTGACAAGCCGGGAGCTTTATCTAAAGAGGCTTTGACTGATCAAATGTAAGATGCACTTTACTTCTGTTTACTTTGGTAATGAGAATTTTCAGAAGTATATTTGCAATGATAATGAATTCTGGTGAATGGTTTCTTGAATGTTTTTTCAAAAGTATTATATGCAATGTTTAGGGACTGAACAGGAATTAAATGTACAGGGGACTGAAATCAATTGTTGACAGAGAAGTTTGCTGCTTTATGATCTCATGCAAGAACTCGACAAACATTGACTCTGTTATTGATTGGCTTGTGAAGCATTCCAAATCAAAGAGCTGAGAAGGCCCAACAATCTTTCATTTTTTGTGTGGATATGTGTGATAATTCCAGAAGGGTGAGTTTCTTGGTTGACGATGGAGATTTTCACTCAATTGATCCGGTTGCTGATTGTTAAATTATTGTCTTCTTTTCTCATGAGCTGCTTTGTACTGTATATTAGATAGTTTATTCCTACAATAATGCTTGAGTTACCGATTAAACTACCGATTTGACATACTGACTCATGTGAATTGAGTTAAATTTTGAGATTTGGGTAATTGGGCAGGTGGGTCGGTATATGAAAATCGGTAGCTTGATCGGTAAGTGTAGTATTGCCCTTATTCCTAATTATTCGCTTTTTGAGGCTAGAGCTTGTATGAGGCATTGTTCTCTTATCCCCATTCACCTAATGTATTTGAAAAGTTTGATTTTGCTTCTTAAGTGGTTCTCAGATTTCCAGTCAGCTGTTGCAGTAAACCTGCATTGCTAAAATATCTCTTCGAAAGGCGATTAATTTTAGAATAGACAACTGCACTTGCAAATAAGTGAATAACTTTGACGCAATTGAGTGGAAGTCTAAAATGTGAGCACTTGAATTTTAATCTCAGTTTGACATTTAAAAGGAGTAAACAACTTTGTCCCACCCAAATAATGGTCTAACGATAGTTTTTCATTCACGGACTTTTAAAATACCACATTACTATGCAAAGCACAATTCTATTAATAAATTTCGTTATGAAGAAGGATATGATGGCCAAAAATTCGTTATAAGTAAGGGTAGGATGATCAATTAAAAAAAACCCCATCACCCCAACCAGTTTGCACCACCAATCGTCGGCCCCTCTCACCTAATTTCTCGTCGATGAGCAAAGGCAATCATAAAAAGGGTCACCGGTATCATCTTCCCTCCTTCCACCCCCCCACCCCCGGGCCTTTCTCTTAATAATCGACCTCACCCCACCCATTTTCACCTTCTAATCGTCGGAAAACATCCACTTTTTTTTCCGGCGAACACCTATCTTTCAGGCTTGTTTCTGGTCAATTGGCACACCAAAAGTTCACCCTTCCACCACCACTAGAACCTTCATCACCACCTCTTCAAAACTCATCATCCAATCGGCTCTGCCCACTCTCTATTTGAAGTCCACCGGTCGTTTTTTGGGTGCCTACTACCTACTCATAAAAATTCCCCAACCAACCTGCCCCTCTCCTGCCTATGAGCGTGCACACCTACAGCCTACCCTTGCAGGGTGCTCGTAAACCACCTCCCACTGCTTCCTATCCCTTCCAACGGTCACAACCACTACTCCAATAGCCTCTACACTATCCCTACCCACTTTTCCAACCCTCAATTGACCCAGAACAACACCGAAACACTCGCCCACCAACTGTTTGATAAAATGTCCCAACCAGCCAAAACACACTCTACCAGGTGGGCTTGAACATGAAACCCTAGTTCTTTATGACCGTCATTGGGCAATCAAGGTCAGAGAGGTTAGGGGTTTTGGAGGGGGGATGCCAACAGTGCGAAAGTTGGCAGTTGGGGAAGTTTCCGGTGAGGCAATTAATGAGAATTGTGCTAAGAAGAGGCAACGTTCTTGCAAAAACCTAATAGGTAGGCAATGGCAATCAATGGTTAATTGGGTTGGGAGATGTTGGGGTTTTTGGTTGGGTGGTGTCAGTGAGTCAAATGGTGTGGTTGGAGAGGGTTGTCGTTGTTGAGAGTTGCAGTGGCCGATGATTGGCAAAGTATTTAGTGTGGGGTCAAGAGGGTTTAAGTGTGTTGGCAAAGGGGAGTGATATGGTGGGGTTGAGGTCGACATGGGAGTCGGAATTAGGCCGTTTGTCGGTGCCGACCAACAACCACGATAGAGGCTAAGAAGAAGAGTAAAGGGTATTTCGTCTTCACAAAGAATATTATTGTATTTAACTGAAATTATTAACTGAATATAACGTTTGGATAGTAAAGTGGTATTTTAAAAATCTGTGGGTGGAAAAGTGTCATAAGCCATTATATGTGTAGGAAAACGTCATTTACTCTAAAAAGAAGTGATGAGGAAGGGAATTGAAAAATATATGAAAAGTTCATAAATCATTTAGGCATTGTTAGATAAAGGTAGCGTTTGTTTCGGGGAATTTTTATCACTGAAAATATAGGATTATCACTGAGATAGATTATCTTAAAGATTAATGGAGAAATGTTATACTAATATGTTTGGTTAGATTGATGAGTATAAATAATTAATATGTTTGGTTGGGAGGAATAAAATATTATCGGTGGGGTTTTTATTGAATTGTCCTTCCTTGTTAATATTATTATTATATTTATTATTATTATTTAGAACATTAATTTTAACCTCCTACATTTGAGAATTTAGTTAAAACACTCGAACAATAAAAGTGTAAAATTTAACAAAATACACCCAATCGCTCAAGACGATTATCGACTGCTGGCCACCGTTGATAGTCGTCGGAACGGCGCACAACCGATAGGATCTAGCTTGCCTTGCGCTATTCTGGCCGTTAATGGTCATGGATCTGGTCGAAAACAGCCAGATCTATTTTGGCCATTAATGACCATATCTGTAGCCGTTTACAGCCATGGATCTAGCCAGAAATGGCCATCATGATCAACCAGATCCATAACCATCTGGCCATTTTCACCCTTCGATCCGGCTATAAACAACTAGATCAGTGCACAATCGGCCAAATCCAGTCGGTCGTTCGCTGTTCTGATGATTGTCGACAACGGCCAGTGGTGGTGGTCGACAGTGGCCAACGGTGGTGGCCAACAACTGGTAGTTGTCTTGGGTGGTTAGAGGTATTTTGGGTATTATCCATGTAAATAGTAAGGGTATCTCTGTCCAAAAAATTAATATACGAGGTTAAAGAAGTCATCTTGCACATTTAGGCTAATTGTTATTTAGGAGACATATAAGGACATTTGTGTCCAAAATATTTATTAATTAAAGGTAAAATTAGTATGAGCAGTTGATTACCCAGTAATGGAAAAATAACACCCTCCCAGACGGTAATCGAATTACTCTCGTTTTTACCTAAAATTACTACTATTGGCATTGAAAGTTTACCGTAACTTTTCATTACTTGACATTCATGCATAGTAATTACTGGAAAATAAGATAGATTACTGGTATTATCTTTTATGTCCCTGGAACAAACGTACACAAAAGGTAAAAATGTAATTAGGAGATTTACCAAATATTTATAATTTTAAATTGTCCATAATTAATTAATAATATACTCCTTTTACGATATTGGATTTTCTTGTACGGTTGTACCATACTATCCCTGGATATTTATAGGACGAGATTTTTTATTGTAATATAAGATATCTAAAACTCAAAACCTTAGCCATAGCTTGCTACTCCCGCCATGGAAGCCCAACCAGTGCCTCTTAAACTCCCAGCACCCGCACAATCTGAACCCAACACCCAAAAAATCAAACAGAAACTTCTTCAAAATGGAGTCTTCCCCACTCCCAAAATCCTCAGAACTCTTCACAAAAAACAACTCCAAAAACATAAACGCAAGCAAGCCAAAACCCAATCCCAGTCCCTAACCCCACCACTCACACAGTCCCAACAACAGGCTCTGGCCGAAGAGCAACACTTCCATACTCTCAAACGCGAGTACAAGCACTTCACCAGAGCCCTAGCTGCAAAAACCGGAGACCCACTTATAGGAAAGCCCTGGGAGAGAATTGAGAGGCTCAAGTTCAGAGAACTCGCCTCTGAAAGCAAAGAGTTTGTTGGGCATAATTTGAAAAGAGAGAATTTGAGAGAATTGAAGGAAATGTTCGAGGAAGATTTGAATTGGGTTCTTGATAACGACATCGAAGATGAATCAGGGAGTGAAAATCGGGGGTGGGACCCAGAAAAACGGTGGCGCAATGAGGCTGAGGCTATTCGGGTTCTTGTTGATAGGTTTTGAGTTGGAATTCTCATTGTTAATCTGTAACTATGTATGATGTTTCTTATTATTATTTTTATCTGCTTTGGCTTTGTTGGTGGTGTTAGGTTGGGCGAAAGAGAAATGACTGTGAAGAACTGGAAGTTTGTGAGGATAATGAAGCAGTCAGGATTGTTGTTTACAGAGGGTCAGTTGCTGAAAATTGTACAGGGGCTTGGAGATAAGGGAAGTTGGAGACAGGCTATGTCTGTTGTTGAATGGGTTTATGGACGTAAGGAGATAAGAGATTCAAAAAGCAGGTATAATTTGGTTATTTATTCTGGTTCCAGAACTATTAGTTATTTGTGTTAGTATTTCTTGTTCAAAATTTTGTCCAAATGAAGACTAAAAGGTCACATCTTCTTAGGCCAGAGGGGTATAAATGGAGTATAGCCCATTTTCTATGAAACTTCAGCTGAACTCATTGTTAAGGATATAATTTTTATTCAATTAAGTGGTTTTATGTGCTGTAAATATTTGTAATTCTCAATACTAGAGACTATAGATGAAAACGCTCAACATGGAGATTGTTGCTTTGTTGATGCAGGCAGTGTTATTTCATCTGTAAATTGTACTTCAGATCCTGGGGCAGTGATTTTGTGGTTGACTTCTTTTTTTCTAGCTCATTCTACTAATTGCATTTGTTTGGTTTTGTTCTATAAAATTATTGTGTCTGTTTATATATGCTTGAAAATGTGTATACTTTCAAAGTGTTGCTCTATTATCATGCAACAAGTTAATTGCATTGCAGGTTTGTTTACACAAAACTTTTGGCAGTTCTTGGAAAGGCTAGGAGGCCGCAGGAAACTCTTCTCATTTTCAATCTGATGCTTGTAATATTCCACTAGTTTTGTTACTTCACGCTTTATTCTTTCTAATTAATTAAATATTATTTTTTAAATATGTCTAGTGTTACTGAATTGAATCTCACACTGATGTCATTCAGGAAGATTGCAATATATATCCTGATATAGCTGCGTATCATAGTGCTGCTGTTACGCTTGGTCAAGCTGGTTTCCTGAAAGAATTGCTTAAATTAATTGAGTGCATGAGGCTAAAACCTTCCAAACGAATTAAAAATATGCGCCGCAAGAATTGGGATCCCGTCCTTGAACCTGATATAGTTGTATATAATGCTGTAAGGGAGTATTACTATGTTATAACTAATTTTACTTCCAGTGGTGCATAACTTAATTAATTCAACATCAGCCAAATTGCTTTTCAGGTATTGAACGCATGTGTTCCTTCCCATCAGTGGAAGGGTGTGTTTTGGGTCTTCAAGCAGTTGAGGAAGAGTGGTCTGAAACCTAATGGAGCAACATATGGACTGGCTATGGAGGTAAACACTAAATCCATCTTTCTGAATTAGAAAGTTATCTCTCAAGTTTAATGTTTAATTTTATTTGTAAAAGTGATTTGTACTTTTGATAGTTGTATGCTCTGATATATTGTTTAATCTTAAACATAATTAA